CCCGCCACGCCGCCAGCCGCGCCGGCCGCGCCGAGCGCCCGGCCGGGCGCGGCGGCAGCGGCGCCCGCACCGGCGCGCGCCGTGCCGGCGGCGGCGGCGGCGGTGGCGTATGCTGTGTCGGCGGCGGAGGCGACCGTGGTGCGTGCGGCGCCGACCGCGGAGGCTGCCGTTTCGCGAGCCAGCTCGGCCGCACTCGCTGCCGTGGTGTACACGGTGCCCGCCGCCGTGGCCGCGGTCGCGCGCGCCGCGCCGATGGTGCTGGCGGCGGTGGCGCGGGGGCCGGCGGTGGCGGCCGCGGCGGCGTCGAGGGTATCGCCGAGGCCGGCTGTTGTGAGGGAGGTGCGAGTCACGGTCAGCAAGGCAAGGCTGAGCGGTGGCGCTTGGATGCATGCGTCCGGCTTCGTACCACTGGGTCGTTGCGTTGCAAACGCGTGCTCACCCTTCTCTAGGGCTGCAACCACTGCCTCAAAGAGGGCCTGCAGGGTGCTGGTCGCCCCGTCGGGTGCAGCGCCACCCGCCCGAGGAGCGCTTGCCGGCGCATGAGCTGACAGCGCCGGCCCTGTATCTCCACCGCCATGCAGACCCTTCGCTTCTTCCAGCTTGCTCATGATTGTCAGCGGGCTGTCCCGGAAGGTCGGTCGAACGAAGACTGTCGCGTCAGCAACTGTTTGCCGGGGGTTGTTCTGCTCAAGTAAGCGGCCAAGATAGAATATGGAATGGTTCTAGGTTGGCGTCTTGCAGAGCACATGAGGATCACCGACACTTTTCGTCACTGGAGAGCACTCCAACGTCCCACCACTTCCTTGGTTTGGTATGGCCTGATTGACCATGTGAGATTCATGTATTACGGTGATCAAACACTGATAGCGAATTGATTGTGCCACAGATCAGAACGCGCTGCACAAGTGTCGAGCGTGCTTTGCTCTGGGTCATCGTATCATGTAACGCAAGGCTCAGATCTCAATAGAGAGGGATTGGCCTCGCCTCTCCCCGTGCTGCGACATTTGCAGCTGCAGAGCGCGTCGTGCGCAGCACACGCGTCGGCGCAGGCAGAGCGCACGGCCGCATGCGATGGAGCTGCGGCCTATTTCACAGGGGGAGGCCCCCTTGCTGCGCATGCAGCCCGGACAGACGCTGACCCTCGGCCGCAACCGCGAGAGCCGCATTACGGACGAGCACGTCTCGCGGCGGCATGCTGAGGTCGCATGCTGCATTGGGCCGGACGGGCGGCCCCAGCTGAGGGTCAGCCCCGTCAAAAAACTCTACGCAGTGCGCGCGGCGGCCGTGGCGGCCAGTAGCTCTTGGCAGCAACAGGAGCAGCAGGAGCAGGAGCAGGAGCAGGAGCAGCAGCAGCAGCAGCAGCAGCAGCAGCACCAACACCAGCGGCGGCAGCAGGCGCGGCTGGAGCCCGGCACAACGCACGAGGTGGGCCCCGCAGGCGCCACCGCCCATTCGGGCGCCTTCGGGGCAAGCGGGCGGCGCTGGGCCGATGCAGAGGCATGCAGCGCGGCGCAGCGAGGGGGGATTACATCTTCCCAATGGTGCAGCCGTCCATATGCCTTCCGTTTTGACTTCCCTAGGGACAGGCCTGTCAGCCCCTCTGATATATGAGTATACGAACTGTGCCTCACGCACCCCACCCCCACCCAACACATGCTGTGTCATCACACATAAAATCAGTTAGCCCCAGGGGACGAGATTTACCTGTGCAAGGACCCCCAAGCTGCCGGGCAGCTGCGCATCGGCTTCCGCCTGGCCGCCGCGCCCACCTCAACCCTGACCGAAGCCGCAGCAGCCACTGCCAAGCGGGGCGGCAGCAGCAAGGCGCGCCTCGAGGGCAACGCCGGCGGCGAGCGCGCGCCCGCGGCGGCCGGCGCTGGCGCGAGGAGGGCGGCCGCGGGCGCGGGCACGGGCGCCGGGCGAGGGGCGTCGGCATCGCCAGCCAAGGGCACGCTCGCCGGCAGCCCCGCCAAGCAGCAGGCCCAGCAGACACAGGAGCGGCGACCCAGCGGCGCCGCCGGTGAGGGCCTGTCTGGCATGGGCGCAGCAGCTGAGCGGGCGACCTCGCCACCTCATGTCCTTACGCTGGCTCCCCTGCTGGCCCCCCCCCCTGCGTGTCATGTCACATGCTCAAACCCGCGCCCCCGATCGTCTGACTATGGCCGCCCCCTGCGCCATCTCACTGCACACGCGATTGCACCCGCTGGAGCAGCCGCCCCGCTGCCGCTCCAGATATTTAGTGGTGTCTGGCTGGTGGTGTGGGACGACCGCCACGCGGGTGAAATGCTGGGCCGCATCGTGGCCAGGGGGGCGGCGCGCGACCCATTTGTGACGGCGCGGACGACGCACGTCATGGCCAGGTATGTCAAGAGAGAGAGAGGGAGAGAGAGACTGTTGGTGTGTGCGTGCGTGCATGTGTGCGTGCGTGCGTGTGTGTGTGGCCAAGTATGTCAAGAGAGAGAGAGGGAGAGAGAGACTGTTGGTGTGTGCGTGTGTGCATGCGTGCGTGCGTGCGTGTGTGTGTGTGTGGGGGGGGTATTGTTCTGAATTCCTCACAGCAGCGGCAACCTGAACCTTTGGTGCCACTGCTGCGTAGCGGTGTTTCATGCAGCTTGGACTGCTGCGTGGATTCCGGTGCGTCGGGAAAAGTCTGTGCATCCGCGTCGTCTGACCCGGCAGCGGCGTCCACGTCGCGGTGCCGCTTGTCCGCTTTCCAATCCTGGAAGGTACGACATGAGCGAAGCCGACGTCAGACGGCGCCTGGCCAGCGAGCAGGAGCGGCGCCGCAAACAACAGCAGCAGCAGCAGCAGCAGCAGCAGCAGCAGCAGCAGCAGCAGCAGCAGCAGCAGCAGCAGCAGCAGCAGCAGCAGCAGCAGCAGCAGCAGCAGCGACCTGCTTGCGCGCCCACGGACGGCGCAGCGCCACCGCATGACGCAATCGCCACGCCCGCCGCGGGCGCCGACGGCTTTGCAGATTTCGCGGCGGTTTGCGAGGCGGGCGTGAACTTCGTGACCCGAGAGTTCTTCTCGGCGTCGATCTTGGCCGGCGCGCGGCAGCCGGAGGGGCAGCATCGGATCGCGCTGCACTCCAGCCATGCGCCGCCAGGCGCGCCGCGGCGCGCGCCGCCGCCGGCCGCAGATGCTCCTCAGGATGTGGATTCAGGAAAGGGCGAAGGCAGTGAGGACGGGCGTGGGAGTTGCAAGCGGCGGGGGCGCGCTGCGAGCGAGGAGCCGCGGCACGAGGGGTCACGAGCAAGCGAGGACGCGGGCGGCGCGTCACCGGATGGCACGGAGATGCCGGCTGCGCTGGTTTCGAGCGATCGGAAGCGACGGCCGCGGCCGGCTGCGCAGGCTGCTGCGCGGGTGCCGCCCCCCGAGGAGATCTGCCTGCCGGGGCGGCCGTGGGGCGAGGGCGGGCGGTGGATCGAGCAATGGGACGAGCAGGCGGCGCTCGCCAGCAGGGCGCTCGTGATGAACCACTGGCATGCCTGGTGAGGCGGGTTCGAGCGGGACAGAGGACTCCATCCCAGGACAGCGGCGCCAGCTGGGAGGGGCTGTTGCAGTCTGGAGTGTTGGTGGCTTCCTGTGGGGTAGACGCGTCGATTTTGTCAAAATAGAAATGAACACAGTGGTGTCAGGTCTACCATGTTTGATGAGCAGCGCGTGCTTTCCAGCTTTCACCATAACTATCTGGTGTTGTGTCCATAAATATCTGTCTCGGTATCATCTCTGTGGCTATTATGCAGGAGGGAGCCAAGGGACGAGCAAGAGGAAGCCGAGCAGGCACAGCGGGCTGCGCCCGCGCATGGTGCGTCAGCCGCCCCTGGCGGCGCCAACGCCGGAGACCCGGGCCGCGCCGGTCCCGGGGACGGCAGCGGCGGCGGCCGTCAAAGCGGCGGGCTGGACGGGGCCGGGGAGGGCAGCAGCGCTTCAGACGACAGCGGGCACGGGTCTGACGGCGAGCGCCGCGGGCGCCCACGCAAGCGGCGGCTGCGGGGCAGCGGCGGCAGCGGCGGCGCGAGCAGTGGTGACAGCAGCGACGGGTGGGAGGGACCAGGGTGCGGCCACGCAGCGTGCGGCAAGGCGGCCTGCTGTATCATTGAGGAGCTGCAGCTGCAAAAGCAGGTGGGGATCCGGAGCTGACGCGCAGGCTAGGATACAGGATGATGCAATCTGACGATCTGGCGTGATCTGGGAGCGATCTGGCGTCTCGTGCACCCGCCCGCGAGCAGGACGTTTGTCTCCTGCAACCCTCACAAGCAACTCCCACCCGACCCCCTTGCTCCTCTTCTCACCTGGGGCCCTCCCGAGCCACGGTCAACACCTCCCC